AGTCTTGTCGTTGAGCCTGGAGCCTTTAACATTAGAAGATTTTATGTCGCCATCTAGTGGCGATGTTCCGTCAGCACAGCGCAGCGCGTCTGCTCATCGACTGCAGACATTTGTCTTCATGTCTGTCTTCACACAAGTAATGAGTAAGTGTGTGTGTGTGTGTGTGTGTGTGTGTGTGTGTGTGTGTGTGTGTGTGTGTGTGTGGTGGGTGTGTGTGTGGTGGAGGAGAGAGAGAGAGAGAGAGAGAGAGAGTAAGAATGAGAAAAAGAGAAAATCCTCGTTGTTTTAAACCTGACAAACAAGTCTATTATTAAAGTGTGTCGTGTGCCTGATTGATCAGCTAAGGTAAGAGTTCAACACAATTGTTTATCTCATTAGCAATAGCATTTAATCAATAGCTTTAGCATATCGTTCAAATATCGTAGTATTATGGAAGTACATTTTTAAAGACATATCTGACAAATATGAAGTCGTGGCAAAGTGAAATAAGGATGTTAATAAATATAATCACGCACACACACACACACACACACACACACACACACACACACACACACACACACACACACACACACACACTTCGTATTCCCATTGTTATTACAACATCCAACGAAAGAGCTTGGTATGAATACATATATCATAAAAGCTTTGAGTTTAAATACATTTTAAATACATTTTTCATTCAATTCTTCATTTCGCCAAATAATATTCCCGGGAATATTTTCTATATTATTTAAAATTTATTAAATCTAGATAAAAGAAACAATCCAATCAACCCTTTTTACTTCAAATTATATTTTAATAAGATTTTTTTTGTTTGTTTTTTGAAGCAAAAAATACATTTGTTGAGTCGTCATTAAACAATAATGAGAAATCCCGTCTGAAAAAAAATGTGGCCTGAAACTGTCTTAATAGGCTGCTGATTTATTAATCATCATCAGATTTAATAATCGGCAGCATTACACACACGCTGACTGCAACCCAGAAATGTTTCTATGTCGAATTCATAAAGTAAGAGCGCGTAACCAATCAGTTCGTTAACCTCTCTTCACCTCTCGCTCAAAGTATTGGGCCTCAGTAATCCAATATCACAATTACCTCAAAATATCTCATTTCCAAACGAGATCAATTAAAATTCTGCAGCAGCAAATTGCAGGTTAAAAAGCTCATCTAATAACTGGAGGAATAAAAAAAAAATGTGTTGTGTGAAATAAGACTGCGTGACTGAAGTAATATAAGTCATGCTATTAACTTAACCGTGCTGAAGGCCTGTGAGGCCGGTTGCTCTTTTTTTCTGTCCGGTTATATTTGAAGGATGGACCTGTGCCATAAAAAGGAGCTTTTTTAACGCTAACCAGGCAGCACCCTCTGGTGAGTGTCACCCTCTCTTCTCAGTCACATTGTGCCGTCCAGGGTAACAAACAACACTGACTTAATTGTCTATTTCAGAGTTTCGTCAGGATACTTTCTAACACCGCTCATTATTTCGAAATCTAGAAATTGCATTTTACGCATTTTGCTGGCTGGCTTCTTTGCAATAAATGAGGTTGTTTTAAATATTCTCCCACCATGAGATGGATTCAAAATCTTCCCCATGTGTGAATTGTCTACAAGTGCGAGGCTTCTTCTTGTTGGGTTGTGCCATTGCTCCCCCTAACAGCCACACAGGTAAATGCACCTCACTCCAAAACGTCCTGTATTGTGCAGACCTGAAGGTTGCTGCTGGATTAATCAGTAAAAGAGTGAAAACAGGCCTGCTGTTTAGTTTGATTTGAATCTTTAAACTTTATCTTTAAATGTAAATTATAGCGCTTGACAAGGAGGAAACTGGAGCCAAGAACATTTACAAGATAGCCTAACGAATGTGTGGCCTACAGCCTAACTGGCTAAAAATAAGAAGACGGGGGGAAAAGACGAAAAGTGAAGCTTAACTCATCATGCTGCACAAAATGACTCTGGGTTTAATGCTGGACGTTAGCACTCTTCTATGTTCTTGTGTATTTGCATAGCTGGATGTTGGCGTTGAAGGTTGTGCAATGAACTTCAGACAAGAGCAAAGATCTTTATTTGTTGCAGCTGAAGGCAGACTCCTGGCACCCACGAGCAAACTGGAATGTTCGAAAGGAGCTGCCTTTCTCCAGCTATGGATATTTTTGCTTTTCTTGATCAGAGATACGGAGTCATGCCTAAACACACTCAACACTGGATCAAATCCACTGCTCGCATGCATTTGTCTGTCAGGATAATAGGGGCTGAAATCCACACTTATCTAATCATCCACGTGGGATTGATTTTAGCCCAACTGCTGTCTTCATTTGCTAAACTAAAAGATGAACACGAGGCTGAATTTTCGAATCCAGAAAGTTTTATTAAGGCATTTAATTCGACTTTTTTTAAAAACAAAAAAACAAACAACCTATATTCTATTTTATTTGCTCCGACAGATGCACCCAGAGTCCAGTTTTCTGTCCATTTTTAAATTTCATTACAGCAAACATTCAGATTTTCATTAAACTGCAATAAATATCGTCGTACGATCTCTTTGCTGGTCAAAGCCACATTATGAATTAGCCTACTTTAAAACGAGCGCATGACAACTCCTTAGGGGTTACCGATATAGTTTTAACTACTTAAAGAAGACGGAGAGACACGTTTCTAGTAATATTTGGCTATCTTGAAAATCTTTCTGTCCTCCAAATCATTCCCATTTTTTCCTCCCGAGTCATCGTGCATGGTCCAGGCTCATAGACGCAGAGCTGTTGCAAAGTGAGCAGTCTGTATGCTGTATTCATTTAATCCTCGTACATATTAAGAAGTGCTGGAAAATAAAACAATTTCGTTGTTTGTTTCCACTTGAACATTTGTCTTTGAAGGTGAGTGCTGCGTTTCACGTGTAAACAAAAGAGACCCACTCCGAAAAAAATAAATCAAAAATAAATCGAAACACTTTTTTGGATTTGTTTTTAAACTTGCAATGCTCGGTACATAATATTTTAATTTCTGACATGTTGCTTGAGATACACACAAAATGTCATTATCCCCCATCTACTGTTAAAATACCTGTAATATAATCAAAAATGCGTCATGAATCAACCATAATATGCAGGTAAAATGTTACTTTACTTACACTTTAGATAATTCCCTCTTTTGAAATCTAATTAGGGAACAGGAAAGTTCAGGAGTTAAACAAAACATATGTCAACCGAAAGTTCTCGGCAATCGAGGAAACGTTTTCTTTTTAAAAGCACCCATCATCGTCCTAGCTGCCAGTCTAAATGTGTGTTTTTAATACATTTTCGGTTTTTGTTACATTGAATATCTACATTCCTTAAAAAAAATCCTTTTACACTTTGCATCTGAGCCAACTTTCGCTTTCTTATGATTATCTGAGCAACGTAAAATCAATCAATCATTAAATATTTTAATTACAATTTACAACCCACTCGTTATGCTGACATAATACATCATTTTAGTTGTCTAAATGAACATTTTCTGTCATTTCTGTAATGAAATTGTCATTATAGAAAAAATAAAGTGTCCATCTTCCTATATGTATTTTCTTTATATGGGAAACACCTAAAAATCTACTCTCGCAGACAAGCATGCATGTAAATGATTACAACCTACAGTGAAGCCTTCTCATATCAATTAGTGTGTCAATTTATATTTTAATGTACGGCTTTAACATTACATGTCCTTTTTTTTTTTTTACCTGCATTGAATAACCATTTAAATATAACATGATTTAAGGATGTGACAGACCGATTCACACCTGCAGGCTCGGTTTAATACAGATGCTGCTATAAATACGACGGGACGAATAATTAGCAAAAGAATTTAAACTGGGTGAAAATGTTCGAGACGATTTTAACAATGAAATTAATATTAGTGCCATAGCAATAAGCACACGCAGTCCGTTCAAATCAGCGAGACAGCCACGTGGGTGAAATATTAGAGTCTCTTAATGCTTCCGTGCAGATGACAAATTCACAGGCTTTGATATATTTGGACGAAATTCTAAAATTGGCTGCACAACGGGTTTAGTGATATGTGACACATGTGCCCACTTAGTCAGCAGTGATGACAAATGAAAATGGGTTGGAGTGTGGGAAATCGCCCGTGTCCAAAGGTTTATATTGGGCGTTGCAATAAGAGAACAAGCGATCCAAAGACTGGAACCCCTTCGACAAATACCTCTATTATCCATAGTACATGAACACGTAAATGTCTACATTAAACATCAAACACGCTGGCTATATATATATATATATATATATATAAATTTTTTTCAACTTTTACGCAAAAACAAAATCAAAAACAAAAAAAACCAGACTGCGGTTCAATATATTTTTTGGGGAAATGTGGTATTAAATAGAAAAGTATGTTTTAACGATCATGGAAATGCTGGTCTGAACAAAAAACTTTGCAAATATAAAAATATAATGGAAAAAAAAGCCTCACAGTCTGTTATCTTTTTGCTCCTGGGTGTGAATCTGTGCGGATGCCTGAAAAACAAAAGTACACAATGTCTCGCATCGCCCCACACTTGGGGACTTGATTGGTCGCCATATAACCAGAGGAGCTATATTAAATCCACAGACAAGAAATAATCCCATTTTACAGGCTTCTAATTTCTTAATAAATTTACGCATGTGTGACTGAGCACCATTTTTTTTATTTTCAAAACTGGAATCTGTCAAACTATCAAACTCAACAGATCATCTGTTCTATCTAAATGCTGTCATCTGTGTCTCAAAGTTTAACCCTTACGTGCGTAACCGGGTGTGTATCTTTGCTGCTGACGCGGCCGAAAACCTGATCTTCATCTTCAAAAGCGCTCAGGCGTCTGTGCTGAGGTCGGGGTTAAGGCGAATGTTAGGTTTAAAAACAATAAAAAGAAAGAAAGAAAGAAAGAAAGAAAGAAAGAAAGAAAGAAAGAAAGAAAGAAAGAAAGAAAGAAAGAAAGAAAGAAAGAAAGAAAGAAAGAAACCAAAAATACATAAATAAAAAATAAAATAATATAATTGCAGGTATGCTTGGCCTGCGTAAAAATTGATATAATTCAGGGGTTTTCCACCCTGTAGCATGGCACTAATAGGCCTTCAGCCAGATAACCCCACTGGAACAATGAAAATCAGTGTATAAGAGGCTCAGCTCTTCCAGCATATCCAAAATAGTTCTGAGCAAAATTCCGTTTCAGTATTTTTCCTTTTCCACACGGCCAAAGATCGACTTCATAAACTCTTTCACTCATATAACCTACACGTTGAGACGTAGGCTATCTGTCATTTTGTGCCAGTGGTCACATGGCTTTGGCCCTCAGGAATGGATAGAGATGGATCCCCACGTCAGCTTGTACGTCTAAGGATTTCTGCTCCACCAGTCTGCCTCAAAGTGACTGGAGCGCAGCGTCGCGGAGGAACTATGCAAGGATTATTATAGGACGTTTTCAGCCACAGAATATGGATTTTGATGAACGGATCTCTGGCTCCAATATGTATTTACCGAGCTGCACTTACTACGTCTCCGGAGCAGAGTTCTCGGGTCTCCCTCATTATTTAACCCAGAGCCAGTCCTCTTGCCCCATGACATACTCCTACCAGTCCTCAGCTCTTCCACAGGTCCCATCCGTGAGAGATGTGGCTTTCAGAGACTATGGCATTGATACTTCAAGTAAATGGCACCACAGCAGGGGGAGCCTATCGCACTGCTTCGCTGAGGACATCGTGCACAGGGAAAGCTGGACGAGCCCGACCTCTCGGGGGGGAGAGATCCTGGTGAAAGGCAGCCCCAGCGCCAGCCACTGCAGCTCCTCCAACCCGACGCCCAGCTTCTATGGCAGCGTTGGCAGGAACGGGGTCCTGCCACAGGCGTTCGATCAGTTTTTCGACACTGCTTACGGGAGCGCAGAGAACGGCGCAACGCCGACGGCACACGCGACAGATACGGAGAGACACGCCAAAGCAAGCCCAGCTCCTGCGCACCCGGGCTCCGACACGGCGGAGAGCTGCAGCCCCAAGTCGTCTTCCGGCCACAGCGAGGAGAAGCAGAGCAAAAGCAGCAGTGAGTGAACCTGCTTAATGCACAGAGAAAAATCTTACGCCTTGCTCTTAAAGCTTTTTATATGCAGTTTTATAAGCACGTAAGGTTTATGGAGGGCCTGCAGATTTACCCTACAACAAAACTATGTTATAAACGACAAGATCACGTGCTTGGGATTGAAATTGGCCGTGAAGACTTTGGCGTTAAGCTGGTCTTCAAGATTTCCAACATGGCCTCTGTTTTTCCCCTTCATTTGTGCGCTTGTATGGACTTTTATAATTACCTTGTAAAACATTTATATGCCAAATGTTAATTTTTATTTTATTTTTTTTAAATACTACTGACATAACAGCCTAACAGCGACCTAGATATTTTAAACACACCACAGAGCCTCTGCATTGATTATAAGCCATTTTTGGATCATTTTAAGATTTAGCATTCTTGTTTATTCCGCGCAGTGCAAAGTGGAGTGCGTTGGGCGTTTAAATCTGACTCTGGACAAGAGTTTAGGCTTAACCCTGCTTCTTTGGATAAATATTTACAAATTCACTGGATTTGCAAGGCTTTAATGCACCAGCTGCTTTCCATGACAGCATTTACAGTGCTAAAGCTAAAATAACTGCTCTCTACCCACAGCGAGATCAATAGAGAACAGTAAAAGAATATCAGATACATGATACTCCCATGTGTCGTTTAGGCCTACGCCTTCAATCCCCAAAACAGCCAAGATGATCCCCCCCCCCCCCTCACTTTACAAATTTCACTATCAATCCCAGCCTTTGTTTACAAGTCTTGATCCTGTAGGCCTGAGTGTAGGGGGAAGATACTTGAACTCCAAAGCTGGGGCTGCTTATCAGCGAGAAATACACTGGCGATCTCACGCGGGTGCAAAGGGGTCCATGTTAATCTTAAGTGACGATCTTTTGCCTTTTGTTGTCTTCCAGGTGGCCAGAGGACGCGCAAGAAGAGATGTCCATACTCCAAATATCAGATCAGGGAACTGGAAAGAGAGTTCTTCTTCAGTGTTTACATCAACAAAGAGAAGCGTCTGCAGCTTTCGCGGATGCTCAACCTGACAGATCGCCAGGTCAAGATTTGGTTCCAAAACAGAAGGATGAAGGAGAAGAAACTGAACAGAGACCGTTTACAGTACTACACCACGAACCCCCTGCTATAAAAAACTGAACAAAGACAGCGGACACGCACCTCTCTCTTTTACACACACATCTATATCATTACCTGGACAGGAGGACGAGATTTTAAAGTGCCACTCTCCATCAATAATTATTTATACACCTTTAACACAATTTGCTCTATTATTATTATTATTATTATTATTATTATTATTATTATTATTATTATTATTATTATTAAGCTCGACAGATGCTAAAGTCTAATGGTTGCATGGGGTGCTTACGCAGAAAACCACATCTGTCTGATTTCCCTTCATTTTATTTAATAATATACATCAAGATGCATTAAAAAAAAATCCTATTTTGTTCCACTATATGATTAAAGTTTACTTGCGCACGCACGTGTATCTTTCTGTCCCCTTTAATGGATCTTGATTTGGCCCAATTTAAGCGCGAACACACATCTTTTGCGGGCCGAATCTTTTGACTCCCCCCCCCGCCATCTTTTCAGTGTTCCTGTGCAAATACAAGAAGTCTGGGGATTTAAAAACGTTTTTTTTTCTAGGTTTTGGAGTTACTAACAGACCCCCCTCCTGATTTTTGACACCACTGATAATGATCAGCTGGTCGAAAAACGCTTGCCACGGCATTGCATAGTTGTGGAATGAGTAAAGTCATAATCTGATACAAATTTGTTCGTCTCATGCACTTAAGTCTGAGATTCACTGATATTTACCATCTGCGCTTGACCCTACTACATGCGCTTTGTCGAGCCCTTGCTCGTAAAAGTTGGATTACTTTCCAAATTCGTCCAAAGGGCAAACCTCTGATAAAAGAGCCTCCAAAAGAAACATAATCCAATATTTTGTTTTATATGCCAGCACGTGGGTCGTATCAGATGCATGATATGTAGGTCTGACGCTTTTTATTCCCTCGTGGCTGGAAATCAGATCCTCTGCAGTTATTATTTGATATCCGTTACAAGGCTTTCATTCATTTCTGGGAGGGGGATGTGGAAAAACTTTTTTTTTTACCTTACATTCCTATTAGGTCAATCTGAAACGATCTTGACACTTTAACAAATCGCGTAGATCTAATTAAAAAACAAATGTATTTGTTTTCTCATGTGGCTCCACGAAGTGTTGTAGCTGTTACTGGACGCTCAAGTCAGCCTGTGTCAGCCTGAACCAGCAGTAGCACATGGGGTAAATAAAGACACGGAGAAACCCCAGACTGTGAGTACAGTCACCACCAACAGTATCATCATTTATTTATTATGTGGAGTGATTTTATCCAAAGACCTTACATAAGTATGTTAGTACATAAACAAGCTGGGAATCTTACAGGCAAATGGAGGTAACTGCACATGAAAAGATGGTAAAAAAGAAAAAGTGTTCAATGTGATTTTATAAACAGCACTAGGGCCCTGAAAACAACTTGAATAGCCTGTCATAAGCTAATAAGGGCCCTGTAGCCTTCCTTATACCGTGCATCCTGTGAGGCTCCCAGGAATGCCGCTTTGATTGCTGCACATCCTCCCAGTTGCTCCAGTAACTTGGCCATAAAACGCGGATTCGTCTGGAGCGTTTGGAGTGCAGTGCAATAAAGCGTCTGAGACCAAGGTTATTAACTGTGACTAAGGGCCTGAAAAACAACGGCTGGGAGCACTGAAACTTGTGTTCACGGACCTTTCCGGCCTCATTTGTATCAGCATCTTGCCGTGGTAGGAATATTCCGTTGGTGTTGCGTTCCAGTGTGGGCCTGTTGTGTTTGCCCACTGGGTGGCGCTCCTCAGATCAATGTCATTGCCGTGAATTGAGATATGAAGGAAGTTTGACTCGACGTTCAGCCGCTTTAAAATATGTAACCACCTCAGGATTTTATTGTTAAGGTAGGCACAGACATACTGTCATATTCATTTCACAGTGACAGGGATGTATTTTTCTTTTTCCCCTTCTCTTCTTGTGATTTAAGAAAGTCTATTTCCCACAACATCCAGAATCATTTCTGTCTGCATATAACTGACCTGAAGATGTTTTATTGTATGTTTTCATATAATAATAAGATTTCTGGAAAAGTTCCGCAAGAAAACTCTGCAGAAAATTTATTTCTGTGTATATTCAATTCAGCAGTTCTCAGGTTGAAATTGTGCAAAGTAATGGGCATATCTAATGCGCATGAAGAAATAAAATCTCAAAGGTTTATATTCCAAACAGTTTGTGGGTCACTAATTTTTACAACACCATACAGTTTTGTTTTATTTTTAAATGTAGATCATACTTCATTTAGTGGAAGAGGATTTGATCATCCTTGGGTACACGCTATGGGATCAATACAAATCTTTTAAAAAGTGGAAGCCATGGTTCGTTTGGTTACTTTTGTTGTCCCTTTGTGCGTGCTTTTCATTTGATTTCTAACATTTATTTAATAAAGTCAGATAAATAAAAAGCCCCCTTTTTACACCTAAGTTTTATGTGAATAATAATATGAGGGAATGATAATAATCAGCTGACGCGCAGCACACACTTAGATCTGACGGGAAATAATCCAGAGGGGTTAATGGATATTCTCATTCATTCCAGCAAGACTGCTGCACGTTTGCCGCCATATAAAATGGCTGTATATAAACTGCAGCTCTGATTTCTAGACTTTATGGCTCCAGGCTTAAAGGGAGATAGACATAACCGGTGTTGTATTTTAGGATAAACCCCACGATAAGCGACATTTTAGGCTGACCTAAATCTGTCGGCCACAAACCCAGCTTCTATTTTTATTTAAAGGCGTGCTTTAATGTATTATTTTTATTTGTATCTTTTTTTTTTTGCTTTTAACCCAACGTTTTTTGTTAACTAGTTTTAACTGACTTTGTCATGATATAAAAATGGAAAATAAAAATTAACTAAGATCCTCGATTTGCTTGCTTGGCCGGCCGACTGGGATATGATCCGTATGAGGTTACCGGAGCACTTTTTTTTTAGAAGTAGTACTTGTTGTTTCCTGAGAAGTGAAATATCTTTATACATTTTGTTTATTTCATCTTATTTTAAATACTTAATACTTACACATCTCTCTTCCATTATATTATATATAATAATAATAATATATAATAATTATATAAGTATTATATATATAATATATATATAATATATATATATATATATATTTATGAATCAGAAGCTGATAAATACATTTTCTATATATATTGACACTAAGCTTGAAATTGAAACTAAGCTTAAAATTAGGCTAATAAAAAGTGGAGTATGTGCATATGGACCTTGGTGTTTCTGAAGAAGCAAGGGATAAATACGTGAGAAAATACGGCATCCCAGCGGTGGCGAACATAACAGTAGAATTAACAAGTTCCAATCTGTTAAATAAGAAACTACCTTCCTTGCAGTATTGCCACTATTAGGGGACGATTACGCAAATGCAGCTCCAGGGCATTGTTCAACTGTGGCGCCTTTACTTCAGTGTTCCTGCTCGCTGCCCTTATAAATGCTCAACAGAGCATCTGCAATAAAAGTTGCCTTGTCGTGATATTTTAATCCATAATATTCACACCAAAACGTGACCTGAAGTTTTGGCATGAATGCGACAAAGTTGAGCAGCTGTCCACTCTGCTATTGGACAGTCCATGAGAAATTTTTAAAAGGTTCTGGCCAATAATATTAACAATCAGATGAGCACACGAAAGCTTAAGAGTCCCTGGACCAAAGAGTCACACACATTTTGGATCCTCGACGCATCCTGAGGCACCTCTAGAACCCCTCATTTTACAGTGCTGTAAAACTGGCCATAAAGCTATGCATTGTACATAATGGTTAGGGACAGCTTTCAACAACTGAGTTTTCAAATAGCAGTTGTTGTGCTGAACTTAAGGCAGGCACCTCGAGGCTTATAGGTGCAAGAGTTTAAGGAGATTTAAAGATTTTACTTAAACCCATCTGATACACCACTTTCCCCCCTCAAAGTTTCTCTTTACTTAGCCTAAAACAAAATATATGACACAGTGGAGATGCCTGATCGGGACTGGGAGGAGTCTGTAGTCGCCTGGTGTTTTAATTGGCTGCAGGCTACAGTGAGAAGCGTGAGTATCAGTAATTATTCAGCAATGTTTTGCACAAGAAATGTCAGCCAGAAAGGGCTATCTTCATCCACCGTCAAATTATACCACAGCGATGTCATGCCCCAACAACCAAGCTGGAAATTCCTTTTTTGTGGACTCCTTAATCAACGTGAGAACCGACAGCGGTTCGTATTACCAAAGTAACAGCGTGTACTTGCCACAGGCGTCGGAATATTCATATGGACTCTCCGGTGGCTCTTGTTTCACGGGGATCGGTAAGCGCAACGAGCCAACGACCCAAAGCGTGATCCCCTCTGCTGCTTCGTATGTTCAAGGAATGGAAACGTGGCTGGAAACGTCGAGATCCTGTCGGGTGGATCAGCCCAGCGCCCAGCATATGGCTCAGTGTTCATTCTCGCCGAGTATAAAAGAGGAGAGCGCTTACTGCCTTTATGAGTCTGATAAATGTCCTAAAGGAGCGACAGTAGATGACATATCCTACTCGAGCGCATCCTGCCCGGGTAGCGGCAACACGGTGCCAGTCCCCGGCTACTTCCGCCTGTCTCAGACATACACGTCCTCCAGGCTCTATCACGATGTCCAGCCAAACATGAATCACTTCACTCTGCAACGACCTGCCCGTTTGGACAGCCAAGCCTCCCAGCCGCCGGCCGCCTCGGCGGAGTCGGAGCATGGAGAGGGCCACGAGGAGGCGCCTGTCCCTGCGCCCTGCGCCCCGGCCAGAGGAGAGGACAGCCGCCTCTCCTCGGAAGGCTCGTCCTCTCCCGAACCAACTGAGACTTGCAGTACGGAGTGTCCAGAAAAGCTCGTAAAAGGTGAAGAGCTGGCATTAGCTGCAGAAATATGGCTAAAAAAATAGGAGATGCGATCATTGCTTTAAAACGTAAGATTTCCGACCGCAAAAATACGCGAGGAAGATTGGTGCTTTTGGGGAACTGTCAGGCACTTAGAAGTTTATCAGAGAGGAAGAAAAATTAAACTTGGCTTATTTAAAGCAGAGATGCAGAGCTATTGTCTCTCTCAAAGGAAAAAAAACTAAACAAAAATCCCCTAAACCCCCAAAAAACAAAAACAAAAAACAGTGATACGATGTTTTGGCTGTCAATATTAAAACAGACCTCGTGTATTTATTTTAACTGTTAATAATATAATTAACTGTTATTTAAGACACACCTTAGTTTTATTTATTATATATACTATATATATATATATTATTATATATATATATATAATAATATATATAATTATATATATAATATTATATATATATATATATACAGTGTAGTATATATAGTATATATGTATATACTACACATTATACTACTATCATTTTCTGGTAAGATGCTGATCTGCAGCTTTACAGTCACTCGGATATTTGTGCGTAAAATCCAAGTGCCGATCATTTAGATCTCAAATATCTGTCATTGTACGAGGACATATATACTTGTACTAACAGTTGCAAGTCCAAACATTTGCAATAAATACGTATAGTTGATAAATTATTTGAGTGAACATTTTCATGTGTGGGCACTGGCATGTTTTGTTTATGTAATGTTATCCGTTCATGATTTCTAATGAATATGACGTTTGTCACACCTGTTGCCTAATATTTGGCTGATTTTCATTGTAGGGGATGGAAAGATGGAAAGTACGGCTAATTGGCTCACAGCTAAGAGTGGTCGAAAGAAGCGTTGCCCCTACACCAAGCACCAGACTCTGGAGCTGGAGAAGGAGTTTCTCTTCAACATGTACTTGACTAGAGAGCGCCGTCTGGAGATCAGCCGTAGCGTGCACCTCACTGACAGGCAAGTCAAAATCTGGTTCCAAAACAGGAGGATGAAACTGAAAAAAATGAGCCGGGAAAACAGGATCCGAGAGCTCTCCAGCAGCTTCAGTTTCTCATGAGACTGTGCGTCTTTGGCGCCCTCCTTCATCCATGCCAAGGACGCCTGTGCAGACCCCACACCCAACTGTGAGAATGAAAATAGGATCCTACTGCTAACTTATTGATTGTTGGTCTTTTTTGAATGATTTTTGTTTTCATGTCTGGTTTAATTTGTCGTGTTTGTATTTATAAATAGTTACATTTGTAACGCTGATCAGCTGAAAATGCTCTGAATGTGACCACAGTGTTTCAGAGCTTCAGGCTTGTACATATTCTTTATTCAACCTGAGTGAACCATTGGAATTTGCATGCTGGACCTTGGGGAAACTTGTGTTCCAGTTACATGTAGGTATTTGTGTGAGTGCTAAAGAAGCCCAGAGATTTGATTAATATTTGCACATTTTGCTGGTCAAATGAATAAAACCCATCCATGCAACTGCAGCCTTCTTATTTCATTCACAAAACCAGAGCAGGAGCTGCGGGTTGTTAAAAATTTAAAGCTGGCACCGGTACAGCGCAAATGCATTTGTGCTCTTTGTACTTTAAATTGGTTTTTTTTTTACACTTTTACTGCGTGACGTTCTTCACGGTTTAGGCCTTCGGCAGATGCCTGTTACTTCGTTGTTTTTTGTCCTTGACATTATATCTAAATGTGCCACACAAAGCGTGGAGTAACAGTAACTCCTTTGATTGCGATTTTCTGAACTATCTGAAATTGTTATTACGTTAGGTTTTCTTGCATTCAACTTTTTAAATAGTAAAATCCATAATCTAGACGCCTAAGCAATAACGCACTCTGACTAATTTGACGAAAAGCAGCTCCAAATGGGGGGCTATGAAGCCGTTTTGGTGCATGATATCAACTTGTGGTTGCTAACTGCCTGTACACTGAGTTCTGCGCCTTTGGAAATTTCTAAAATTGTTACTAGTAATAAAACAGGCTACACCTAAGCAAAATTTCACACTTAAAAAGAAAGAAAGAAAAGAAATCAAAAACCCCAGAAGAGGAGAGCGGGCTGTGGAGTGGTTTAGGTAGTCTCATGTTGTTGGGCTATATTATTTCTCCCACAACACAAAACTGCCTTGATTACCTCAGTAAAACTCGTCACATCATGAAAAGTGAATCGCTCTTAATTACTAATTGCATTTATTAATTGCTCGGCGCACACTGCTTCAGAGGCATAAAAGGTATTATTCCAAAAAGTGCAATAATGTGTTTTATGGCTTTGCGCAAAGGGGATAGACCACTTTTTTTCTTCTTTTTGGTTATAAAGCCAAGTCCACATGACTACACTTTGGGATTTAAAAAATAATAAAAAGAAACACCAAATTTTAACCACGTCCATAATTTTAAGGTCACCGCTCTGTATGATTGTGAGTACATGTGTGTAAAATAGCAGTGTTGGAAGCAGGAATATGAAAGAATTCGCAGTGGTATGAGTCCTGGAGAGGGGAAAGGACAGACAAGGCCTCGGTTATGATCATTGCAGTCTGCCAGTTGCCTCGAAATGCCGGATGCGTCTGCCTGAGCCAGAGAAAGGACACAAAGGCTGAGCTTTATTGGTGATATTTAGCTTAGACAGCCAGGTTGTAACCTTAAGAAAAACAACCCAATTGCCCGTGATAAAAGGGGCCTGGTATATGGCACCCAAATAACCTCATCCCACTTTCCGTTTTAGATTGCCTTCAAAGTGGACCCACAGACACGCAGACGCAACTATGTGCGTTTTGGAAACTGTCCCAGAATGTTTAAATCTTCCAAAGCCTGGTGATTCTTTAATGACGCGTTTGCTGCTTTTGTATATATAAAAAAGTAAAATCTTGACATATTTTATCTGCCGCTACCACGAGCCTAATTTTTGTACATATTAGAAGTTTTATAGAGGTCATTAAAGTATTACAGTCTGTTTTTTTGATGGGGGGTAAATAACCCTATGATGCTTTTTTATGAATACATACATGCATACACACACACACACATATATTTATACATATATATATATATTCAGCTGAAGACCTTGTTTGATGTTTTTACAAATGGATACTTTAAAGGATTATTACCCCCGTCCCTATTTACAGCTAGATTTGATTACACTAACATACGCTCTCTTGACAAAATTCATAACGTTTATTGCTTATAAACGAAATAGTTCCCAATAAAAGCGCGGGGATTTGCTATTAAAATATGGTGGGGGAAAATGGTGGCCATTTAGCCGAGCGCTAGGCTGATTTATTATTTATTGTTCTGTCCCACGGTCACGTGTTTGGGGCGCCCTATCCAGTCTTGGGCAAGGTTCAACTTACTGGACGCATTGAGTTTCTAGCTGGCGCACGACAGCAGCAGCTTATCATGCAATGAAACGTTTTTTTCGAAACGCTGCAGGACTGTAGAGTGCCGTTTTCTGACTTTGCGTCTTTGCAATGTCGACTTTGGGGACCAGTTATTACATTGACTCGCGCATTCTTCCCGAGCAGGAGGATATGGCACCGAGGTATTCCTCGTCAGCCGCAGGGGTGGAGCAGGCGGTGGTCACCGAATATGGCGGACAGGAGTCTTGCCCATTGCAGGCGAAATCTTCTATTTTTGGTGGCTCTTGGAGTGCCATCTCGGCCCACACTCCAAACACGGCCGCTCCGACATATATACATCACCCTTACCCGAGTGGGGACAGCGATGGCATGTTTACGCGCTCTTGGGCGCTGGATCCGGTCTCTGCGTCCCTGTGTTTGACGGGATTACCATCGACAGGCATGCACTATGAGATAAAACCGGAACCCCTGATTGGGACTGCGGAATGCACAACTTTGGAGACGCACACGCATCTTTTGTCTGACACTGAAAACGGTGCGTCTCTAGTGGAGATTCCATGCGAAACTGCGTCTAAAGCCACTGAAGATAATCCGTCAGTAGAGGAAAAAAGGAAGGTGGATCCAAGTAAGCAATGCAGGGTTTGGATTTTTATTATTGTCACTCGATGTAAACACTTAACATAAGCAAAAGGGTTTAATTTTTCGCGAATGTGGAGGATTTGTTTTGAATGCCATTGGCTTGTATCATCTTGAAAACGCGTATGACGCTATCATAAGAGTGCATTGTTTCAAAGGTACGGAGACATAGCGGTCTCCTAGCTGATTAACATCATATCCAAAATAAATAAATAAATAAAATAATAAATAAGGTGACTATGACCCTAATATTCACGTCAGATTCTGCGCATTTTTCCAAATTCGGCAGAAATATTGCCAGAGAAAAACCTCAAAATTGCCTCTCTGCAGACAAAAAAGAATGTCTCTAAAGAAAAAAGTCATACTGTGCGTAAAACGAATAAGCAGGACTAGTTTTATTTTTGTTTTGTTTTGTTAATTTTACACTAATCTCGATAGCGTTAACTCTCTTGTCTCATGGTTTCCAGATAACCCGTCATCCAACTGGCTTCACGCAAAGCCCACCAGAAAAAAACGTTGCCCGTATACAAAGCATCAAATCCTCGAACTGGAAAAGGAGTTTCTGTTTAACATGTACCTTCCCCGGGATCGTAGATACGAGATAGCGAGACTGTTGAATTTGACCGAGAGACAGGTAAAAATCTGGTTTCAGAACCGCAGGATGAAGATGAAGAAAGAAAACAAAGACCGGCGAAGAGACAGTTAACTGTTTTCATTTTTTCTTTGTTTTTTCTTGGACAGACCTGGGATTAGAGCCTGGTTGGGAGGGGAGGGGTGAGGGGTTGAAAGGGAAAACTGGTGTCTGTCCTTAATGTTCCTGTAACACATGTTGTTGTAAAGTTAGTGCTGTTGAAACAATGCTGGGTGTTTTTTTTTTCTTATAATATTGAGAGGAACAAGTGTTTTATGAGAACTTAGACGTGTTGTACTGCCGCACACAGATAGCTACCTTAGGCCATTTGTTATTTGCATGGATCTGTTGACTACCTGAATGTCTTTCAGCTACCTATTTGCATTATTTAAGTTATTGTTTTGGTAACTTGATATTGTTTTTTTAATAGTAAGATTTTGATGCATTTGTGAACATACTGCGCACACGGAAAATACCTCATCGTTCTTGATTTAACCTAAAATAAAGTGTAGTTTGTGTACCATTAAAGAAAAGTAGTAATGTGATGTCATTTTTGTATTTAATTTCTCCCAACAATAATACACAAATATAAACCAACATTTAAATTCCTAAATGGTGCTAGAGGATTTTGTTTTTAAATGCTCCTTTGTTTCGATCGTGAAATGTTTTCAAATCCTTTTTTATCTTTTCTTTTTTCTTTTTTGAAGTTAAAGCTTTTGCTTCTGTTATATACAAATTAAATGAAGTGGGGGAAATGTTTTATTGCAGGAAGAAAACGATAAAAATAGACTTTTACTACAAGTTCTGGGCTGTAACCATCGAGCTTTATGGCGCAAACAACCCAAATGAACCACCGAAACTTCCCAAGCTAAGGTTTGCCAAGTTAGCCATTCTCTCTCTCTCTTTAACTCAAAAAAGTCCTATGCCAAGGCCTGCTGGTATAAATTTGTATTTTAATAATTATCTATGTATTGCAATTAAAAATGCTACTCTTACGGACGAGCGAGAAATCTTTAAGATATGGTCAGCATTTGATAATAGTCCTTCTCTGCTTATTAAACTGAATATTTATTACAAAGCAGTAAAACGGTCACAATTACGTAAATTGTCCTTAATCCTTAAATCCTTAAAAAAAGAAAGAAAAAGGAAAAACAAAATAAAAGCGGTAGACTGCAAACAGCAGAGGCCTACCTGTATCTAAGAGAAAGTTAAAAAAAGAGATTATTGTTCCACTTTAGTATTGTACGTGATTTTATTTTTCTTATTTGTCTGCAGGATACTGTGGGCCTTTGGTCGTCTCGCTATATGCCCCCCCCCCCCCCCCCCCACAATAACACAGCCAACCTCAGCTGTTTATAAGGTGCGAAAACAGCAAAGCAGTGTGAGCAGTATGATGAGGCTGGGGCAAATAGTCAGATATGTAATATTTGTCCATTTGCACACAAACACACACACACACACACAGGGGGTGGGGGGTGCAAATGGTTCTGTTTTAAAACGTCTAATTACTTTACAGCCACCCACCAACAATTAGACCGTCTCGGTCAAAAAAGCTTGTTGTTTTGTCACTACAGCAGACACACTATTGCAGCATGTCTGACAAACTGAGGAATCTGCCAATAAAAATGACCGTTTATAAAAATAACATTGAATGACCAAACAGATTTTTCTTTCTGGTAAAGCTGACTATTTTAATTTACACTTAAACAAATAAACGGGGTCAAACACTGTGCTGGTGATGGTGTTGAAGCTCCATGCTTTGGTGAATGCTGCTGCTCTCTGACCACCAGCAGGTGGAGGCAGCGGCTAATCTGAAGAACAGTGCTCAAAAAGGATGATGCGTTCATGATGATGCGACTAAACACCACTCCCCACCGATTTCAGACATCTACTTCATAAATATGAATATCTAACCCATGTTTCAGCTTTATTTATGATTATTTTACTCATATCATGCTTTAAAAATTGTTATATAGTTAAAAACAGACTTTGTTATTCACCAATTTTGACGTGTTTAGTCTGGTTTGAGAAAAATATAGCAAATATGAAGGGGTTATTTCATGAATCCAGCCCATGTACAGTTTAAAAGACACATACGGCTTTATCTCATGCAACAAAATTGAAAGTAAAAGGCTGGTTACACTCAAAATCAAGCCTACATATTTTTTATTTTGTCACTCAGCAGTAGTATTAGGATGCTTTAAATAATATATGTAAGAAAAATCTCGATCATCTGTCATCATGCCATTTATTTGTATAGAGAAGCAGTTAGCCCCAAGATCTAATTTGCGTATTATTTCCTCAACTGTGCTAGCTTGTGTGGGTGTGGGATGCTCTTGAATGTAATTGAACTAAGTGCCCTGTAGTGTTCAAAATCATTCAATCATGCAAATCAAGCTCAGGTTTAGATCCTGTGGCACCATCCGCACCACAAACCTCTGTTCAGGATCGATGCCCGGAGATATCTGTGAGTAGCATTTAGTTCCATTACGTTCAAAAGAAGGCGGGCGTCTCTGTAGCTCACACCAAAATAATCTAGATGGATAAATAGCACTACTGAGCAGAGGAAAGCTCACATTTGATTTTTGCTGTGACCTCCCCCTTTATTCCTGCACTCACATGCCTACAGGTAATTTACACCAAAATGCTCCACTGATCATGATTACTGCCACATGATTAAGTTTGTCTCGGGAGCATAGCCGTTAGCTTATGTCTCATGATAGACTTGAGGTCCTGAAAAACCGAGAGTAGGCTCCTCTTCTTTCACTACAGTTCCTCCATTTCTCCCTCTGTCACCTGAAACGGTCATCCATGTGTAGGTCAGTATGTGTCTTTATTAGTTTGTGAGGTGGAAGAAGGGATACTTTGAGGACAAATTCAAAAACATAAACATTATGCATATGCTGTTTTACTGCGCTGTTATGGCATCTGTGAACTCTCCATAAGACACAAGAAAACACTGTTGTGTGCAAATGGCCGAAGGTTCCGGTCTGATCCTCATGAATGTTAGGCTGGATAGTTTCAGTGCAAACAGCCATGCCGGGAGTCCTGCTGCAGAAAAACAAAGTTCCTTAGACGTTGTTTGCCGTGACCTTTGGTGACCCCTATACATCAAACCTCATGACACCAGCAGTGGCAGAGGAGGCTGTAAGTCAAATCTGGAATAGAAGTTCAGAGGAGTAAAGTCGTGAGCACATGGGAATCTGTTCCATCCACTTATCCTCAGTGCCAGTAGCCTGTTGTTTTGGACAAATCCCAAAGAGAATGTGGAAAGTGAGGTTAACTTTGTAATATGTGTCTGGGTTAGCAGAAGCCCAAACATTTTGCAGATATAATGGATTGACCTACGAGGCGAACCATAGAAAAAAACCTTAGATTTATCGTGTCTTCAGGGGAAAGACTCTTTCTTTAAAGCTTATGCTTATCGGCCATTTGTTCTCAGCAGTCTCACATCAGTTTGCATCAAAACCTCCCTCATGTACATTTTTCCTTTCACGTGGGGTGTGATTAAGCAGAGATAGCCCACTTGAGTCAAACAGGGAAAGGACTGACAGACAGGCTGGCTGTCTCCTAAAAGTGGGTTATAGGTGGGAGAGGTGTCATCTTACTGGGAAGCACAGGAAACGCTTCAAACCTTATATCTATATATCTATATCTATATCTATATATATGAATAAAGCTGGTCGTATATATATGTATATATACGACCAGCTTTATTCATGAACGCCATTTATTCATTTGCTTTCATCACCAAAAATGGAATTTTATGAGATTTCATTTATTTATTTATTTTCACATGTCGACTTAGAGGGAAAAATAATGTTTGATTTGCAGGCCTATAGTGCGCCTGGAGTATCTGTCAAATCTTCCCATGAATCCAGGCGGCTCAATAAATAAAAGCGTAATATGAAAATGCTGTCGTCGTGAACGCTGCTTTGTTTCCAGGACACACACACACACACACACACACACACACACACACACACA